GTTTGGCTCACATTCACAGTTTCTCAACTTTCTCACCGCTATACAGGGTGTGAAAAAACAAAAAGAATGCGGCACTGTCTGTGATGATGTGCTTGACGTTTCCTAAAATCCCTCTCCACCCCAGATCAGACATCAAACAGAACACTCATTATTACATGAGAGACAGCAAGTTCAGGTAAGTAATGGTTCAACATAAATACCAAAGTTCAACATTTGGGGAGAACTGTGCAGAAAAAAAAGATAATAGTGGGAGTACACTGCCAGGGGAAGTGTGCATCGTAGGGCCAGACCACCTGATCACAGGGAGAAAGAGGTAAAAAGCCAAAGGATGTATGGATGGATGGACTCATGGATCAAGAGATGCATTGATGAACAGATGGGAGCTTGACAGCCAGCATACATATATGAACAGAAACATAGAGATCAAGCAATGACCTATACTATTGCACGACACCTAAAGGGCTACGCATACACATGGGGAAAGTTACAATATACGTCACAGCTAAGTAAACCTGTGTTCAGCACCTGGGTCATACTGAAACACCAGCACGTGGCTACTGCGAAAAGGATGCAGGGAAGCCTTGGAGAAACATAATAACTGACACAGCGCTGAAATCTGGATGATCTGTGCAGAACATGTGCAAACCTGCCATAAATCATACACTGTGTGATGCTACTGAAGCATCCGCACATCCTACAACAGCTGCACACACTGTACTCTAGTAGCCTCTAATAACCGCACCCGTTGGACAATCCCAAAAAAAAGTATCCAGCGTTGAGCGTGAAGTCAGGCCAAGCCCCTCACACAGCTGGAACGGGGATATACGGGTGAGACAGAGACTAGCTTACCATTTATCCTACTCAGTAGGCTCTGAGCAGGCTGAGTGGCTCTTAGTTGAGAAATGCTAAACACCACACACGCACAGAGAGAAAAAGAGCTGGCTAACCTCTCACTCAATATTTACAGAGCTCTGCGGCAGTACCACAGCTGGAATGCAGCGGGCAGAGCGGGCAGAGCGAGCACGCAGAGGGAACCGTATCACTTTCTGGGTCATATAGGGCTGCTTCACTCCGCGTAAAGTCTAGACTCGGACGGAGAAACACGCCTGCGGATGCTCTCCGCTCAAACGGATTCATATTCAAAGAATGGATGGACTCTGTGCCCTAGGAACAAAAACACATACATTTATAGATGCACACAGCAAAAGGTCGATGTACATTCGTGAGCGTATTCCCATGATCACGGTTTGCCATAAAACAACAACCTTCGTCCATCGGTTTCTCCTATTTATTGCATTTTTTCTTCCCAAGTGAAAGAGCTGCCCGGATTTGAAATTCGCCCAAGGCAATAATCAGTAAACTAAAGAGCAGAACATGGCATTAGTACCTATGAGATCTCTCCTCACCCACCTATATCTGTCTGGCTGTCTGGCACCTTCCCATCACACCTCTGGTACCTGCTGTTTTAATTAACTTTGTACCACAGGGAGCAATTATGCAAGACAACATTTGTCTCATTTGGAACTGCAAATTAATCTAACTTCAAGCTGCTGAAGGTGAAGCACTCCAGTTTGTACAACAAGCAAGGCTGCCAGTACTTTCATTTGCATGCAGGTTGTTTTCATATGCATTATCACTGGCTGATTGCACACAAATACATAGAAAGATCTAAAGACATGACATTGGCCCAGAAGTTTTTGGTGTTACTCTAATGTTGCGATTCTGAGCTTTTAGGAGAAAAAGGGGGAAATGAGTTCATTAAGATGGACCGATAGCATAGGCCGGGCATACATCAGGGAGAAAACAATTTACATACCTTCATTTCCCTCAAGGAGCAAGAAATGAGAGTGAGAAAGTAGATGGGGGAAGTGTGTGCTGCAATGTGAGAGGAAGCAAATGAGAAGAAACGGCAAGAAACGGGGTAGATGCTTATGTGAGAGAGACAGTAAGATAGTATGTGTGAGAGAGTAAGCTAATGAGAGAAAGATAACAAGTTGCAAGAGGAGGGAGGGAGGGGGCTCTGACAGGCGAGAGGAGACAAGGTTACACTTCAGGAGGTGGTGAGAGTATACCAAACAGTAGGCTGTGTCAAAGAGATACAAAATCAGAATCTTGCATGTGATGCAATAAGCGAGTCAGCCACCCTCTCACAAAAAGAACTCTACGATCTCTGCCTCCTTCCACTAATCTGATTTCCAGGATTATGTTTCACTATTTAAAATAAAACACCACGGCGCTAAAGTTTAATTCCATCACTTTATTTGGCTTAATGACTCTGGTAAACGTCAACGCTGCCGTATTTTCTATCTCACTTCTCATTTACTCTTGTGTTGCAGTGCTCCATTGATATTGCTGATTTTTAAAGACCCTGTAGGTAGGGATAAAGGAACCTTTATTTGGGTAAGCCAGCTAACAAGAAATGGCGGTTATTGCTAATAAATCTTGTTTTTGCATGCATGTGCATTCCTTTTGACATTTAGGTCCCTCAGGTGGCTGTAAAACTGATATAAAACACTTCTGGTACACTTCAATTCTGACCTGGACAGATACTAGCACACATTAAACTTCCCATACCAGTTTAATGGGAGAGTGTGCTGAAGTTAGTGGTTTGTTCCAAAGGGTGAGTCGAAAATTGCGTTCCTTGACTGCTAAAGCTGTGCCAGACCTGAGTCTAAAACCAAAAACATCAATCTCTAACCCTCTGTCAACCACACCAACAGGGTGCACATGGAGGCCAAAACCTCACAATGTAAAACACGATCTCTCAGTTCAAGTACATTACACCGATAGAAACTCACATTGAATAACACTCTAGATCGTCATGGACAACAAGAGAGACAACAGACAATAACCTCAAAATATTTACCTCAATAATAATCCCAGAACAGCACGAACAAAAAACGCATTCATCCCGTGCCGGAGATAACTTCCTGTTTTTCTGAATCTGAAACATTGCAGCGTGTGGTTATGATCCTGTTTCTAGGCTGTGTTTCCCTGTGTTTATTATCGAGTTGACACGGAGATGCCTGGCATGCGTGTGGCTCCATCACAACAGGCATGTCTTTGGTGGCTAACAGGGCATGTAAATGGGGTCTAACTCCATCAGAAACTGCCTGGAGGGAGCGAGGGAAGACGACAGCGAATCCCTGATGTTGGGAGCTGGGAGACGCTCTGTGCCACAGACCAACACTGTTGTGGCTTCTTCGTGGTAACTGAATGATCACAGAGGAAATATGGAGCAACAGTTCCTAAAATAGGGTCCACAGACGGCCAGGGGCCCTTTAAAGTACCAATGTGGGTCCAAAGGCATAAAGAGGAATAGTAGCAGTTTCAAGGCAGTTTTATCACACAACATCACATTTTTTCATCTACAGTAATGATTTCCAAAGAACCCTTTTGAGTGAAAGGATGGCTTTATGAAAAATATTGCACTGCTATCATAACAGTTCACTGTTGAGCATTGGACTCTTTTTCACTTCAGTACATTTGGTCAAGATTAACTTTACTAGCCTATACCACTACTTAGAGTACCAGCCATTTAGTCTTCTATTTTTATTTAAACTAGTCTCAATTGCATCATGAATTGACTCAAATAGTTAGTAAAGCTGGGCCTGTAATAGCGGTTAGGTTATTATGGCAATACATATACTCAAATTCAGCATTACATCAATATGTAATTCTATTTGCATGTTTATTTTACCCACAAGACAAGAATGCGGATCAAATCCAATGTTTTCACTGTATAATGTTTCCATGTGCTCCCTAATAACAGCAGAAGTACCCCCTGGGGTACACCTACCGCTGGCTGGGAATGGCTCATATACAGTGTTTGTTTCTGGGATGTGTTAGAATAAAAAAAACCTAAATGTCACACAGTCTATCAAACAGAGGTGTGGTTCCCATGCACCTTGATTCATGGTTTGCCTGCTAAATTTGAGGGGTAGAACAACAATCATCATCAGCCTAACAAAGCAGGAACATTATGAATTATTAAATCCCATAAGAATCCCATAACAAGAACAAAGACATTTGGCTAACTAGTTTCAACTCGTTGACATAAGCAACCATGCTGAGGGGTTATAAGTGGCCATTGCTTGGTTTAAAGGGGTTGAAAGCCTTAAAAAGGTATTTAACAGTGATGATTGCATATAAATGACGGCCATAAACCACTTTTATTAACCATTGATGTAGAGAGAAGGCATATAAAGTATTAGACTTCAGATAACTTGATTCACAGCAGCCAGATTATAATGCATCTTGACATTGTTGCTGTTCATGTTATGTAGGAGAGTACAGAGCTCGAACATCACATTTTCTGTCTAGCTTTCTCTCTCCCTTCTTCTAATGACAGGCCCACGGTGTGGCCATGCATGCTGTGCTGTGCTGGAGTAACACACCGCACACCCTTAAGCAGCTCTTTAATTAGCAGCGGGGTGAAATCGGAGGCATCAGTGAACGCATCACTTTTTCTTTATCAAGCGAACAGCATGCTCTAACAAACGATCCGGGAAAACAGCAGCAGCAGCAGCAGCAGCAGCAGCTCGGCGCCTTCACAGTATCTGCTGCAAACACAACACAACTTGCAGCTTTAACGCGCACTTGTTTAACAAACCAGAAGTAAAAGGAGCACTGTGAATGGATTTAAAGGCAGTTTGATTTCCACTGCAGTTCAACGTGTGTCTCTGCGTGAAAGCAGAGTGGGCTGCGATGCTTTAATGAGGCATGTCAATAATAAGAACAGCGCCCAAAAGAGCCGCTGAGGCCACTTCACAAAAGTAAAAGACAGCCGGGGGAAACGGACACACAGGGTGGGAAAGACGAGGGAGAAACACAGCATTGTCTCGCTGCAATGTAACACACATAAACGCTTGCTGAGGAAAAGCGCAGCGAGCCGCCAAACATCGTGAATCCTCAACATTTAGCACCAAACGCGGAGGAAGTGAAGCTACAAACACTGCTCAACACCAACATTTGCGCAAGAGAAGAAAGCTTTGACTAACCTGACGAGGCGAGGACACTTCTTCCACTAAAGCGCTGATGTCCAGAGTTTGTGTGTGAGTGTGTGTGAGTGTCACTCAGCGGTGTTTGCTCCCTCCCTCCCTCTCTCTACCGTATAGAGATAGTGCTGATGTTTCCACTTCCTCTTTTCTTCTTCTGCCGTCTGCTGGCTGATGGTGATGCCAGACAGAGGATGCATGAAAACATGAGAGCCAGCTGCTCTCACTGAGTCACTGCCTAACGAGTGGTGACATTTATCAGATTTTAATAAAGATGTCAGGAGGCTACTTTGGCTTTTAGCAGCTCCGGAGTCAGACAGCGAGCTTTGCTCCATAACGTTTCAGGCTACAAACTCAATCTTATTGGATCAGAGGGAAAAAACACTCAGGTTTATATTTTTGATTTCAGGATGATAGGATTTGACATGGTTAGCATATATGTCCGCTTTAAAAAGCTGCATGTAATTGCGAATTTGTTGAGTCTTTTTTACTCGACTCATGTCTTCCATTCAGAAACAGGTGTGAGTCACCAGCTCCCTGATGTTCAACCTGTAGGCACTTAATAAAACACACTGACACATGTTTGTTTAATTATATATATACTTTTTTTTAGGTATGGTTCTTATTATTTCAAGATTAGTTTACTCTTATTTTCAGTGTTCAGTGGCTACAAATCATTTTTCGGATGACTGTTATTTTCTAGAACATTTAGGATTTGGGCAAAGAAATGTAGATCTCATACATTTAGACACAACCTACTAAATATGACAACATTAAAAGTCGAATAAATAGGGTTATTATTAAAATGAAAGTCTTCAGAAATGAATTCACAACAATTAACATTTGTTTCTTTAAAATCTGTTTGTCAACAAACAAATGAACAAACGTGTTTCATTGTGTGAGATCCAAACATCTTCAACAGCCGTGTTGAAAGTACTATACAAACTTTAGCTGCTTTTTACCCAAACTTAAGCAAATGTCTTTTATTTTTCTTCCAAATATCTGAGCACTTGTTTATATAGTACTAAGCAGATTAACTTTAAGTGTTCAAAAATGGTTAGATATGTGTTTACTGAGCTATATGAGGAACATTGTAAAATAGCACATTTTAGGATTGTACTTTAATAGTTTGCATATATGTAGCTACGTTTAAAAAAAAAACGGATGAGCTTTTTGGTGACTGCCTTTTAAGAATAGTGTATGTATTCATATTGTTACACAATATTAGATTAGATTAGATTGGTGAATAAAGCAGGTGAAGTGCCACACTCAGAGTGGCACAAAGACGCAACTCCCTCCAATCTTGCAGCCAGAAGAGAAAGGCAAACAGGAACAATGACTTTAATAATTCATGGCTATTGAGCGCTCTCTGGTCCCCACATACACACAGAGAACTGTTTGGCGGGTAGGATTATGACCTTCTAATGTTTCAATACACCAGGAGCCTTTTTAATGTAGCACAACAGTGGTCCTACACAGCATAATGGTGGAGTTTCATTCAATGTAATTGTAAAAGACAGGATAGAAGAGTTTATCTCAGAGCAGAGCAACACTGAGCCACATGAGGCCACTTCCCCTTCATTTGGTCAGGGATAACAGACTGTTTCTGATATTAAACCCAAAGTGTGTGTTTATGAGTGTGTGTGTGTGTGTGTGGGGGGTGGGGGGGGGGGGATTAATACAGGGGCCCCGTCCATCCTGAAATAATCTGGAGCGACACACACAGCAGAAATCTCTGTCTCTCTCTGAGAAAAACAAAGGATTCAAACTTCTGTCTAAATAACAGCCTGTGGCCTTCATCAAATTGTTAATTGGATCAAGGGCTGTAAAAGGCAAGCAGGCCAGATAGAAAATAAACACAAAGCAAACAGGTTATCTGCATACAACGAGATATAGTTAAGATTCAGCATTCAACCTGACTTAAATCACATACTTATTTCAAATGGTTATATGCTTTAACCCTGGAAGGTCACACTAGATATGACACACAGTTTAAATTGTGCATAAATAATTTCTAACCACTACACTGAAAAACTGAAACGTTGACTTTAATTAAATTTAAATGTCAACAGATTTCACATAACTGTATTAGGTTAGTTAAAAGCAATAATATCAAGGTTCAACTTAATATTATTTATTTCAACTAACCTTATACAGTTATGTGAAATTTGTTGACATTTACATTTAATCAAAGTCAACAGTTCAGCTTTTTCAGTGTACCTTTTTAGGGGGATTTCCAGCAAGAAACCAAACTACTTTTTCTTTGTTCTGTTCTCGTGATTTTGGAATAGAACTGAGTGAGTTTTGGTGACTTCTGCAACCTGAATTTGGCTTCAAAGCTTTAAAGAGTACATCCACAAACTGTACATTAGAGGGCTCACAGAAGATATAATCGTTTTATCTGAGACAGCAAAGAGGCAGTGGAGTGGTTTTAAGCCATATGGTCAATATACAAGTAGCCTACTGCATGATGCATTAAATAAAGTGCAGCCTCACAATGCATCTCTGCAGCAATCAAATGCAGTCAATGTTTTTTCATCTCTCAAGTTAAACCTTTCAGCTGGCTGTGTTACTCAATTTAGATTAAAATACACAGTTTCACTATATCTGCACATCTGCTATGAAGACAACAGGACATGACTACAAAATAATTGCAACTGGCATCCTACTCATTTGGCAAACATGATTAATTATTCATGTGTTAGGCACAGGGCTCGGTTCGTAAAGATTTAATTAACTCGTTTTTGGCAAATGTGTTTTGAGTCGTAACACAATCTGCAAAATGAGTCTGTCCTGGCACTCCGTCTGACCTGTCCCTGGTCCAAGAAGATAGAGTGCTTCAATAAAGACTCTCCGTTGACCAAATTCTCTCTACGTGGCGCAACCTCCCTCTGAGCAGCCTGTGACTGAATCTCATCTGGGAGATTCATTGTTCCACTCAGAGAGAGAGAAGTCAATGCAGAACAGACTGTTTCAATGACGCTGATTTATCTTAGGTTATTGGTCCAGGCGATGGACCAAGCAAAGATGAAAAGGAAGAGAGAATTAATAAGCGTTCAATCTGCAACTAAAATGCTCTCATGGCCTTATAATCTGTCACTCTTTGATAGAATTGCAATTTCTCACAAACACATACACTGCCTACAGCATTTGAGCTGCTCGGAAAGCTTAATGCACAAATCTAAATGGAAATCTAGTTTGCTTGTTCCCTTTAGGTCTACTGTAATTGTCTCTCCAGCAGGGTCATTAGGAAATGGGAATGTTTCAAGTTCGTTTCCACAGGGAGTCCTGCTCAAAAATGTGTTGCTCATGACGAAATGACACAAAGGGCTTCCTCAAATGTGGCCTAAAGGGCAAGTCTGCTGCAAAGTCCTTATAGAGAGCTGATTAGTTGAACACAGAGGGAGGATCGCTGTGCATTGTGTAGATTGTAAAATGACTTTTGAGAAACACCCTCTGAAGTATCCTCAGATTGCTAGCAGGACAAGATCAAAAGAAAAATGTTCTTCGCCTCTTGTACATGTAAATCAACTTTTCTTTTCTGAGGAAGGTCACGGCAGGACTACGCTGTGCACTTTTAATGATCAGACTTGGCCGTGTGGAGTTTCGCTGCACTGTCCTCAAAAGATCACCGTTAATATGAAAAAGATTCTCTTTCACATTCATTCAAGGCCAAAATGGTTAACATGTTTGTTTTTCTTAATCCTGGAGCCGAGTAAACATTTGAGAGAGAGAGCTGTCTTTATTCTCAGAATAAGGGAGCACATTCACATACATTCTTTTCACATCGCTGTGGTTTTCTTTAGAGCAAATTAATGAGCATATTCCAACCACAAATCATTTCAAATATTTCTGTACAGTAACAAGCATTCAAACATTCTGGCTTGCGTGGAAGACAAATTCTAGCTGTACTCCAACATTTCATTTAGACTTTTTTTTCCACCTCTGTGTTTAGCGCACTCTACAATCAAAGTATTTAATACCAGGGAGATGGCAGGGATACAAAAATATGGTGGAAAATACAATCTCTTAATAACACACTGTATTTGCGGACACCGTAGAAGAACATTATCTCTTACACCAGCGGGCTCATTTCATATCACTTAAGATTAATTAGCCATGCAGCTAATGCTTTTTGACACACATATGCACCGTGGCACACGCTGCACACACTTCCTTAAGCAGCTGTGCCGTATGACCCCGTGCTGCACCATCCGTCAGAGGGGAGGTATAATGCGAGTCGTCATCCTGGAGAGAATGAAGCGGCTGGGGAAGTCATGCACAGTGGACTTAGAAAAGGCTTAGAAACGTCTTCAGAGTGCGGAAAACTTCACTACTACGTAAGCAGCTACTTCATCCATGCTCTATGTTTAAAGCACACAGCGTACAAGTAAACAAGCCTGTTCCAAACACTCAATCTGAATCTGAAGAGTCACTGGTTTTGGACGACTTCTGCTTCTGTTTCTTTTTACTCTTCTTCTTGTCTTTTTTCTTTTTGTCCTTCCCCTTTTTTCTCTTCTTGCTGCGGTGTTTGTCTGATGAGGATGAGGAGGAGGAGGAGGAGGAGGAGGAAGAGGAGGAAGAGGAGGAAGAAGAGGAGCTGTCTGAATTGGAGGAAGTGCTGTCCTGAAGCATCTGCTGCAGCTGCTGGATCCTAGAAACAGGAAAGGCAGGACTGCCAAGGCACAC